AAATAGCAAAGTGAGTGGTATAGAAGAACACTACAATTAGGAAAAGGACACGTTCAAATTTACTATAAAACTTGTTAAATGATTCAATTTGTTTTTTGTTAATGGTTGGGTCAACTATAGTATAATTATTATATTTTTATTTATTAAGGACTGAAGCTTTTCAATATATAATTTTTTTTAATAAGAAAAAAGGATCAAAATTATCATTCAACTATGTAAATTGTCTAAATTATCCCTTAAAAAGTGTTGTTGTTACTCAAGAGAAATATTTAGACTTCTTTTTAATTGTTTAGAATGCAAGACCTATCTTAACCGCAAGTGCATTCGTCATTTGATTCTATCCTAAATCCCACCAATTTCAAAATATGTATCGCTTATTTACTTTTAAGTAATAACTAATAAGGAGAGCGACAAAGGGTATATTTTCTTTTCTATATCGTCGTCTCATCAATGCGTGTAAATTAATAGACAAATCTATCCTTTTACGCTTGTTAATCTGTATCTCATTCTTCAGATATACAATAATAAAATAAAATATAACAGTATCAATAAATTAACAAAGAACGTATATAAGATAAATAACAAATATTACGAATATTTTTGAACCAAGTGGATCAAAAAATAGGTTTTCAGAAGACTAATTAGTGCCTTTAACCAAAAGCTAATCCTAAGACAGAATAATTTTTTTGAAAAGATCTCTTAATAAATCTTGTCCAAAAACTAAATCAAAAGTCAAAACTAATCTTTATCTCCTCAGTCCTCACATGCCCTTCTTCAGCAATCAGCACTAGTGCTTCTAAAGTACTTTGTCCATAAAGTTATGTATCTCGTTAGCACTGATGTTTGTTGCATTTGAGCGGAGAATAGTTTTTTGATCTTTATGAGGTAAGGATAAAATTTATATATACTCTATTTTCTCTAAATTTAACTTATGAAATATTACACTGAAATGTCGTTGTTGTTGTCACCAATGGTACAGCATCAAAGTTTTTTTTTTTGGGTGCATCAATATAACATTAAAGTACATGGGTGAATTAGAATCATAGCATTCAGGACACATATGTGTCCGTGACATATTACGAATTAGTTCGAGCGTATTTTATGCAAATTGTCATATAGGACATGTGTTTCTACTTATTCAATTTTATACAAATTTAAGCTAGCGTTTGGCCATAAATTCCCAAATATTTTTGGCAAATATTATTGGGGTGAAAGTTTGGATGAAATTTGGCTATAGTATTTGGAAACATATTTCATTTTTTTAAGAAATATGATTTATATACCCATAAGTTTAAAAACTATCATTACTTCCACAATAAATCTATTGGATCTTCGTTGCAACAAATAACAAGTAGTATCCATGACACTGGACCAATGTGGTAGTTCGGAGTGAGTGCAACAAGCATCATTCCATATATCGTGAAGTAGACGAAACACATGACTTTGTTACCCTGAACCGATTGTTCATCATTTTCATCAACAACCATATCATCACTTTCATATTCACTGAATATTTCATCACTGCTTTGGAGTTCACGTAAAAAATTATATAATATAACGTAAACAACTACTATAGAGAATGTTTTTGTAAAAGATAAAATTAGTTTGGTGTAGAATTTGAATTTTTAAAAGAAATAATGACAAATTGTATGGACAAACACAATGAAATCTATGACCAAACAGGTCCTAAGCAGCGGCGGAGCCATGATTTTCAATAAGGGGTTCAAAATCTGAAAATTTAGGCACACAAAGTAGTCAAAGGGGTTTTGACATCTACTATATCTACCTAAAAAATTATTCTAACCATGTATAAATCATATAATTTTCCGCCGAAGCCCTAATTGTAAGGTGGCTCTGCCACTGATCCTAAGTGTCTATTTGTACACACCCAAAGTTGAAGATTAACATAGACGACTTCAATTTTATATTATTATTATTATTTTTTTTATTTTTTTTTAATAGACGACTTCAATTAAGATCAAGTTAAAAAGCATATTTATATATTACTATATGTTTTCAAAAACTATGACCAACCACACGTTAAGCCTTGATTCCCAAAAATATTTGAGAATCTATAGCTAAATGATGTAACACTTGCTTGTAGATTCCAAAAGCAAAACCCGAAAAAGAAGCAAGTTGATTGCCAAAAATTGAATGATGAAAGAAGCAAGTTGATTGAATTGAAGGATGATGGTCCCAACTACCATTGAATGACCATTTCTTTCAAATTAGCTAAGACTAACGTGGTAGGTTGGCCCAGTCAAGTCATCAATTAGTATATGTTTGGTTGCCACTCAAATAACTGCTTTGTCAACGTCAACTTTTTCCTTATTTAACATCTTTCAATTGCAATCTCGACTTTGTCGTATGGTACATCATATAAGGATAATAGTTTCAAAATTTAATTGATCATGATTAACTCTATTCATGTTTGATTTAAGACATTAACAAATCCAATGTATCAAAAGATCCTTGAAGGTTGCTTTTCCTACTTCATTAGTTCGCAACTCACCACATTTTTGTAATTTTCACTTACAAAAAGTATGTGATATATATCAAAATCAGGAAGATCACTTTCTAAGAAAACTTAAAATTTTAGAGTAAAATGTTATTATAAAAGGATCTGATTACATATAATAAGCTTGTTAATCCATATGGGAATGAGGATTACCTAATCACGCCCTATTGTCGCACCTATCGATATATAAATATTGTAATACGCCTTAATGATCAATCATTAACAATGGATGTGATGAGTGATTTTGCTAGAATAAATGTTAACGAGATTATTGTTTTAATTTGGTAAATAATTCGGAGAAGGATATTAGAAATATTGATTCTCAAGAAGCAAAATAAATTCTTGAAATAGCGAAAGCTAATATGATAAAAGTTAGAAAGAGAAAGAGGCAAATCTAGCTCTAGAACGAAATAGAACACAACCTATATATTTGGTACACGTCCTAAACAAAACTATAGTAAATGTGATAATAATTGTTTTTGAGTGGATAAATCTTCATTTTTATTTTTCGCAGGTGGAAATTCATGTACTTGGCTACTACCTCAATTCAAGAAAAATAGGCCAAGTTTAGACAAATTTGTTCTTCTGATAGGGAAGTTTTTAATAACAATAACGAGGATTGTGTTGGAGTGATAAGTATTCTTTCATTCTTAATCAAGGTCTCACGTGGAAGTCTTCCTGGGAACATAATCATCTTTATTAGGGATTGTTCTACCCCTCAACATGGGAACTTTGAGACGAGAATTCATTTTAGCAGACTTTAATGTGACTATTGGACATCGGATAAAAAGTCAAAATAAATATATAAAAATAATAGTAATGGTAATAAAAATGGGGTCTTTATACATTGTCTTGAATGTTGAGGGAGAACTTTCCAGTTAAATGAAAAGGCCAACCTTTTAGAAGACCAAAACCAAAAGTGGGTCAAGTTTACTACCAATTGATAAAAAGAGTACTTGTTCTAACACACTAAGACCTTCTTTTTTATATTGATAAATCTAATTTATATTTATGCAACTTTCAAGAATTAAAAACTACTATATTAGACTAATCAAATTTAAGCTGTGATCTATATTTTTCTTTACACCAAATTTCATCGTAATATTTAACCGAGAAAATGATCATTAATGTAGTGGTTGAATGATTTTAGTTCTTTTATATATACCATGTATCTCAAATGGAGTGTAGGAGAAAATGATTATTTTAGTTCTTCTGTGCAAATTTAGAAAGACTTTTGGTTACTTGACATATATGAAGAACTAAAATGATTACCTCTTCTATTAGTAAGGACTATTTTGATATCATTTTTTCTATATACTTGGATCATTTTGGCTACGTGAATTGACTCTTGATTAGCGAAAAGTGACAATTTGAATATAAAGAACTATTATTATGAGCTTTATCTCTAAACAACCGTGTGCATTTACAAAGCCACTTCCATCAAACGCAAACGCTGACTAGATCAAATGTGTGCTTGATAAGAGCTTATGCCTTTTGGTGTTTTGATGATCTCCTCACAAGTGCAGGGACCTGGTCCTCTGCAGAGTATGCTCATCCAGTGTCAAAGTGCGGTACAGCTGTAAAAGTTGTCTGCGTCAGAAAGTTGGTGAAGCTGCAGAGTACTTCACCAATCAGAAGCAAGGAGGTTGCTTGTACGTTTGGTAATAACTTTTTATGGTATATACTAAACCAAATACAACAACATCATTCATTCATTAAAAGAGAGAAATATTTCAAGCTTCAAGAACAGCAAGGGATCTGATCGATTACTTCAAGAGCTTCAAGAACAACAAGGGATCTGATCGATTACTTCAAAAGCTCTTGTGCCAGCTGTTACTTTGTTTGCTTGTAATAGTGCTTACATTGTAGGATTCGTTTTGTGAAAAAAACGTTTTAAATTTGTGTGAATCATTGTAAGAACTAGGTTAAGGGTAACTTAGGGTCTTACTCTAAAGTCTATATTAATCGGTCGGGATTAGTATAGTGGGCGGTGTTGTACCCGCTTAGCAAAGTCTAAGTTATCTAGGGGTGATAGCTTAGTGGGCAGTGTTGTATCTGCTCTGGCTCATCTAAGTAATAGGAGGTATTGCTTAGAGTTGGGATTAGTAGGCTAATCTCGATTTGTAAACTTGTTTTTACTTTTGCTTGGAGAGGATTAGTGAAAGAAGTTTGAAAAGTGGTCAGGTCGTGGTTTTACTCCCTTGAGCAAGGAGGTTTCCACGTAAAGTTGTTGTGCATTCTTTACTTTCAGCACTTTGTTTATTTTCTGTTATTGTAACTATGCTGAGGACCTGGTCCCATAGAAAACGTGGACGCATACATTCCAACAAGTGGTATCAGAGCGGTACTTTTCGTTTTGGTTAACACCAAGAAAAGAAAAGATCCAAAAGGAATGGCTGCTCCACCTAATATGGAAGAAGGTCAGTCTTCTACTAGGCCACCGCGTTTTAATGGTCAATAATATGGCTGGTGGAAGAATCGAATGCATGACTACATCAACGCTGAGGACACTGAGTTGTGGGACATCATTCTTGATGGACCATATATTCCTACAAAGGAAGTGAAGGATGGAGAGCTCACCACTACAGTTGTCAAAACTAGAAAGGAGTACAATGAGATGGATAGGAAAAAGATAGAGAAGAACTATAAAGCAAAAAAGATTCTAGTGTGTGGGATTGGATCCGATGAGTACAACAGAATTTCTGCCTGTGAATCAGCCAAAGAGATATGGGACTGTCTCCAAACAGCCCATGAGGGAACACAACGAGTAAAAGAGTCTAAGGTCGATATGCTTACGACTCAATACGAGAATTTTTGTATGAAGGAAGGTGAAACTATCTTTGAAATGAACTCAAGATTCACTTCCATCACCAATGAACTAAGATGCTTAGGTGAGCCCATTCCCTTAAGTAAACAAGTTCGCAAGATTCTCAAGATTCTTCCCAAGTCATGGGAAAGCAAAGTTGATGCTATAACAGAGGCAAAAGATCTTAAGACACTTTCCATGGATGAGCTGATTGGAAATCTCCAGACCTACGAGTTGAACAAAAAGCAGGGGACAAACATGAAGGAGGGAAAGAAGGAGAAATTCATTGCTCTAAAAAACTCACAAAATGATGCGACTCAGGAGGAGGATGAAATGGCCTATGTTACTAAAAGGTTTTAGAAAATCATCAAGAAACATGACGTCTTTCAAAAGAAGGCTTCAACCAGCAGAGCAGCAAACGCAAATGACCTTTGTCATAAATATGGCAAACCTGGTCATTTTATGAGGGACTGTCCCAGCCAGAAGCAGGAAACTCAGAACTTCAAACCTCGTAAGAGGGACCTGGTCCCAGACAGTGCTCTGAGAAAGGCTCATGCTAATCAGTTGGTGAGAAAAGCCTTTGCTGTATGGGGAAATGATTCAAGTGAGTCAGAAGAAGATGCAGAAAGTTATGAAGATGTTTCAATGATGGCTATTAAAGAAGATGAAAATGTCTTCAATTTCATCTTCTCATTAATGGCAAATTCTGATTATGAAGAGGATTCAGATAAGGTAACTCTTTTTTATCTTAAAGATGATCTAGATAATCTGCCTATTGAAAATTTGAGGAAACTTGCTGCTCTGCTTATTGATTGTGTTGATGAACGAACCACTGAAAACTTAATGTGGAATAAAAAATTAAGTTTGTGTGAAGATAAGAATTCTGCTCTCATGTCTAAACTGAGTATCAGGATAGGCATCCTCGAGAATGATAGTCTGGAACCCAGTGAGGGACCTGGTACCTCAGTAGGTGGAAAGAGAAAGCTTAGCATCCTTGAGGAAGAACTGGAAGAAAAGCTCAAAATCCTTGAGTCCAAGTTAGTTGCTCTCTTGAAACAAATTCTCAACAGAGAAAGGATCTGAGTAAGGTCAAGGAGGAGTTAAGCCACTCTCTAAAATGGACTAACTCTTCTAAGATACTCTCTAATCTGTCTAATCATAGTTTCAATGGAAAGAAAAGGTTGGGACGTAGACCAATAGAACCTCCTTATAATCCTCATAGCAAATATGTGTATGTATCTGACAATCTGTTGTGCACTCACTGTGGGCGTAATGGTCATCTAAAAGAAAAGTGTGTGACTCTGAGAAAAGCAAAAGAAAAGCATGAGAAATTTGTCAGATCTAAAAACAATGATAAAAGGGAACTCAAGGGACCTGGTCCCCGTTATCGTTTCCGTAAGAACACTTTGCCCCCTGGACAGGAAGGTTTCTTATTAAGCCTTTTGATAGTTATTGGGAACTCCGTCTGAAGTGGGTTCCCAAGTCTAATAAGTGATTTTTGTGCAGAAGAGAGGGAGCAGTCGATGTTGGTACATGGATAGTGGATGCTCAAGGCATATGACTGGAAATACTCTAAACTTCCTCTCTTTGGAAGCACACCAAGGTGGTAGTGTGTCATTTGGCGGTGGAAAGAAAGGTTTTATTCTTGGTATTGGCAAGATAGGAAGAACTCCAGATCATTCCATAGACAGTGTACACTATGTGGACAGTTTGAAGTTTAATCTCTAAAGTGTGTATCATATTTGCGACAAGGAAAAATGAAGTCAAGTTCATATCTGAAGGGTGTGTGGTTACAAACTGTGCAATTAAGAAAATTGTAATGTCTGCAAAAAAAGTCAAGAATGTGTATGTTGTTGATCTTGATTCTACTGAAGAAGACAACTTGTCATGTCTAAGTTCTCAAACTGATGATGCAAATCTTTGGCATAGGCGACTGGGTCATGTAAGTACCTCTTTACTTAACAAGCTTGTTGCAGGGGACCTGGTCCGCGGACTACCAAAGCTGATGTTCTCAAATGACAAAATCTGTGATGCCTGTGCAAAAGGCAAACAAACAAGATTTTCTTTCAAGGCAAAGAAGGGTGTGAGCACTACCAGACCTTTGGAACTTCTCCACATGAATCTGTGTGAACCTGTTAGAATTCAAAGCTGAGGAGGAGTGATGAAGGGATACCATGAGATGGAGGAGCTGATCAAGGAAAGGGAAGACAAGGATATCCTAAATCCTGGAAACAAACAGGTTGCAAAGGAAATTGCTGCAGATCTCACAGGAACACCTGGTCCCTCTGATACTACCCAGAAGGTTCCATCTCAAAATCATGAAGCTGATGATGTTGAATCTGATGCTGAAATCGAAGAAGAGTTGATCATAAAGTCCGGATGGAAACATCAATTCTCATATCCATTGGACAATCTCATCTCTCCACTTGACTCTGGAATTCAAACTAGATCCAGGACAAGAAATCTAGTTGCATATTCAGCCTTTATGTCAAGAGAAATACATCAAGGAACTGCTTTGAAAGTTCAATTCGATTGAGACAAAAGTTCTTGACACTCCCATGAGCACAAGTGTGAAGCTTGACTTAGATGAAGATGGAGTTGAGGAATGAGTGCAAGATTTCAAGCAGCACCAAAGGAATCCCATCTAAAGATAGCTAAACGTATCCTGAGATACTTGAAGGGAACTCAGGACCTGGTCCTCCTCTACCTAACAGGTGACTCACTTGATCTAATTGGTTTTGCAGATGCTGACTATGCAGGCTTTCTTGTAGATCGAAAGAGTACATCAGGCATGACACATTTTCCTGGATCATCACTGATTTCCTGAGGGACAATGTTGAGAAGCAAAATGTGGTGATGAAGTTCTGTAAGACTGAGGACCAACTGACTGATATCTTTACAAAGTCATTGAGTAAAGAGTGTTTCATTAAAAGCAAGATAAGGCTGGGGATGCACAAAATTACCTGATTCCGTGACAAGTTTGCACAAAAATCTTCTATTTAGATTATGTTACGGAGGCCAGGTATCTATACTTGTTTTAATGCTTGTCACTTAAGAATTCACTTCTGGTACCTTAATGTAGGTATACACTCATGGTGTGTCTAGTTGAAGGGAAGATTAAATCATACTGACAGGGTTGCAAACTGAAAAAGGGACCTGGTCCTGCTGAGGTTAGTATCACTTAGACTACACTGTCTGTATGTCAACATCACTGCCACATGTCCCTCGCCCATTCATCGCGTCAGTTTCAGATGTCTTTTCGCTTTTAAACCAAAGGTTGCTACTGTTGAAGACTCGATATCTTTTTGGTTTTATATACTACTTCTCTTAGTGAATCAAATTACAAAATCTTATCAAACAATTCTTGTTGAAATTCACTAATCCCCTTTCCAAAAGCTTTTCTCTCTTTCTCAAAATGTCTAACTCTAATTCTTCTTCAAAGATCCCTATCTCCCAAGAAGTTGAAAATCTTAGTTCATTCAACTTCTCTTTTTTTACTCCAGAAGGCTGTAAAGAAATCTCATGTGAAAAGGGAGAAAGTTAGAAAACAGGTGGCTGAAAATTAAAACTCATAAAGGGACCAGGTTCTAGGGTGCAAAATCAAAGTGAAGAAAAGAAAATGACAAGGGAGAAGCGGATAACGGCAATGGAGAACCAAAAGGTTTTGAATGGCAGAGTCTTTGACCCTGACATTCTAACCAAATTTGGAATATCAAATCTTTTTTATGCACTTGCCACAAAACGTTGAGATGTCAAGAATGCAGGGTTATCGAAAAGGTTTCTCAAAGGGAAATATCAATTGCTTTTTGAGTTCATCAATAAGGTGTTAGTGCCCAAAACAAAAAAATAGTGGCATCTGCTGCTGATCTGTTTCTCATAGAGAAACTTGATGAACTTGAAGAGATCAATCTCTCTGCCATTATGCTGGAATGTTAGTGTGTTGAAGGAAAAACTAAGTGCAGATCTCAAATGACAGATGTTCTAGAGCAGCAGGCTACTCTTAAACGGGAAGTGACTGATCTTACTGAGATTCTGAATAAAAAAGAGATTGAAATTGCTTCATTGAGGTCTGAATTATAGAAGGCAGTTTCGAAGGGACCTGGTACCAGCGATGGAAATGAGCAGGTGTTGCAAAAGTTGAGGGATGAAAATGAAAGGTTACTGAAGACAAATGCATCACCCAGTGAGGAAGTTAAGACTCTCAACATGCAGCTTATCAAAGGCTCATGAGGATGCAAATGAGCATCTGTCTCTATTTATGTGCACCCTCAATCCCTTTCCCCTTCTGTCCTAAAAGTGTCTTGTTTCCTTAGTTTCCCTTTTTGTTCTTCAATCCTGATTAAAACTCTTGTGGCTTTGTGTTTGTTTTGCTTGACTACAGTGGTCAGTATTTGTGATCTAATGCTATTTATGTTTCTCCCCTGTTCATGTGTGGCTTAATATTCGCTTTATGCTTACATACACATGTTCTGTGTGGCCCAAGGTCCTGGATTCTTTATTGCCTTGCATTTAACTTGAATATGTTTACTGCTTCACCTTTTCAATGATGTCAAAAGGGGGAAGTTTTGTTGTAAAGTTGGTTGTGGAATAGGGGCACTGAACTAAAGAATAGGGGCATTGAACTAAGGGGGAACGAACTGTGGTTGTTAGGGGAATTGAACTAAGGGGGAACGAATTGTGGTTGTTAGGGGCATTGAACTAAGGGGGAACGAACTGTGGTTGTTACTGGTGCACTAACAAAGGGGGAATTTGTTATGTATTTGAATGAATGCTTGTTCCCTCACGTGAGGAGTTATGCAGGTTGTTTGTCATCATCAAAAAGGGGGGAAATGATAAGTGCTAATGCTCCTAGATGTTTTGATGATCTCCTCACAAGTGCAGGGACCTGGTCCTCTGCAGAGTATACTCGTCCAGTGTCAATATGTTGTACAACTGTAAAAGTTGTCTGCGTCAGAAAGTTGGTGACGCTTCAAAACACTTCACCAATCAGAAGCGACGAGGTTGCTTGTTCAATTAAGGGGGAAACTTGAGTCAATTGAATGAATGTCTGTTCACTCATGTGAGGAGTTATGCAGGTTGTTTGTCATCATCAAAAAGGGGGAAATTGATAAGAGCTTATGCCTTTTGGTGTTTTGATGATCTCCTCACAAGTGCAGGGACCTGGTCCTCTGCAGAGTATGCTCGTCCAGTGTCAAAGTGCGGTACAGCTGTAAAAGTTGTCTGCGTCAGAAAGTTGGTGAAGCTGCAGAGTACTTCACCAATCAGAATCAAGGAGGTTGCTTGTACGTTTGGTAATAACTTTTTATGGTATATACTAAACCAAATACAACAACATCATTCATTCATTAAAAGAGAGAAATATTTCAAGCTTCAAGAACAGCAAGGGATCTGATCGATTACTTCAAGAGCTTCAAGAACAACAAGGGATCTAATCGATTACTTCAAAAGCTTCTTGTACCAGCTGTTACTTTGTTTGCTTGTAATAGTGCTTACATTGTAGGATTCGTTTTGTGAAAAAAACGTTTCAAATTTGTGTGAATCATTGTAAGAACTAGGTTAAGGGTAACTTAGGGTCTTACTCTAAAGTCTATATTAATCGGTCGGGATTAGTATAGTGGGCGGTGTTGTACCCCCTTAGCAAAGTCTAAGTTATCTAGGGGTGATAGCTTAGTGGGCAGTGTTGTATCTGCTCTGGCTCATCTAAGTAATAGGAGGTATTACTTAGAGTTGGGATTAGTAGGCTAATCTCGATTTGTAAACTTGCTTTTACTTTTGCTTGGAGAGGATTAGTGAAAGAAGTTTGAAAAGTGGTCAGGTCGTGATTTTACTCCCTTGAGCAAGGAGGTTTCCACGTAAAGTTGTTGTGCATTCTTTACTTTCAGCACTTTGTTTATTTTCTGTTATTGTAACTATGCTGAGGACCTGGTCTCATAGAAAACGTGGACGCATACATTCCAACAGTGCTATTGGATTCTTTTTGCATATCTCAACTATTCAACCATACCTGTTACTGATGGGAAGTAGCATGCATAGTACTAGATTCTAAGCCATTAGGTGAGAATCACAAAAACTCGGCATTTCACCAACTAACACAATCAGATTGTGAAGCAAGACAAGGAGCACGGCGAGCAACAACTACCAGTGAATATAACTACATGAATCATCGCTGCTTCATTTAAGCTCAATCCGTGTCATCATCATAATAGTTTTTTTTTTACAGGACACACCTAAACTCTTCAAGTTAACGAGGGATTCGAGTGCCCAGAAAAGTGAACAAGGATTTTGCGAGGTGAAATCAAAGATAAGACAGCCTTATTCATGATTAAGATGCATACACTTTCTTTTTCATATTTTCTTTGATAAGGACCTTATTTTCACCTAATACTATGGTACAAGGTCAAAAGTGCATAGTTAGTGTGTCAATAATTCAAAAGTGACACAGTAAAGCAACAACCAAAAGGCAGAGTACCTAGTGATTTAAAAAAATCACTATTTGTCAGTTGCCAACCACTTTGAATGCCTAAAATAGGAAAAGGGGACAGTCTAATTATGTTTTATGCCTTACGAAATATGATCCTCTAGTTATTTTAACTATCCTAGAGTAAAACATGAGGCCGATTGCAGAGACTAACCATATCACATACAAAAGCTTCAACACTCAGTATAATAGGAAACGAGAATCCTCGAGTACGAGGCAGACCTCAGAACTTTGTTTAATTCAACAACTTTAAAAGTTAAAGCATTTCATGCTCACCATTTCTTGGGACCAACCGAACTCTTCCTGGATTGTGTATCGTTTCCCAGCAATTCATCAAAACAGATTTAATCACTTCTGCACTTTTTCTCATTAGACGCAGAGTGTTTAGAAATAGAAAGCAAAAACATGTGTACTGAGTTTCGATGAGTTACCTGAATTTTGTTTCACAAAGGATCTAAATCAAGACAACTTAGCATACAAAAGGAACTAGACAGTGTCTTGATTTAATTAAATAAACACGGATCTGAATTCAAAAGCTCTGCCTATTAGTTAAAGCTATATACAATGTGGTACATTATTTCTCTGACGGTGAGAAAAAAATTCTAATCTACATTACATCAAATTGAAGCAGATCGTTTCAAAAGCTTGATATTGCATAGCGCTGTGCCAATCAG